AGTTGTCGGCGGCCAAATGGATTGACTCATTGCTTAAGAGTACTTTTTTTTTATAAAACATGACACATGATCCATCTGTTGCATTAGGGCTCGTGTACTAATGTGATTTTCTAGCATCATCAGCGAAATAGGCGTCATGACCTATGTAATAAACTAAACAAAAAAAAATCAATAATATAAAATAATATATGTCAATGTCAGAATTTTTCAGAAAGACATTATTCTATATTAGATCGTTCTCGTATATTAACCGATCTTTTTAACATTAATACATGTTGCTGCCTTTGAATGCGACAAAACTCATAGCAAATCTGTAAAAACGTCATTTAAACGTTTCAACGCGTTTTTGTAAAAAGGTCTTTTCTGACTAGGAAGCATCGTTTATGATTGTTGACAATGGTCAACCTAAATGGTTGTTGTTTTTGATCGATATGCGGCTGTGCATGAGTGTATGCGATTGACCTGAGTTTTAATTAGATTGACATCTGTAAGTTAAGTAGTCAAGATGTATCCTATCGATTACAAATGATTTTTGAATTAGTTATGTACCAGGACTGTTGGAGAAAAACACAAGTCAAGACGTACGAACACGATTAATCTTTTCACCCATCCTTTGCTCATCTGGACATGTATATTGAAATAATACGTGTACATATATACTACACAGATTGAATTGTAATTTCACAATCTGTTTATATTTAAGCTAACTGCTCATTTATCTATCAATTGATATGGTTATAATTTTCTCGAACCTGATGACAGTTAACATGAAATAATGTATTATTCAAGTGTGTAATGCTTCCAGCAGAAATAAATATCTTGTTATGTTCTGATATCAATATCTATGCGAATAATTTTTTCTTCCCGAATAAAAAAAAACCTTCTCTATCATTATCTATAAAGTTTAAAGAAAGAGTGGCATCTATATTCAATAGTTTCAATAGCTTAATTATTAAAGCGATATTTTTTTTACTGCTCATCATAATAGAATTAATGATTAAAATAGAATAATGGTCTTCCTGTATCACTTCAATAAGGAATATATCTCTATACAGGTCTGAATCCACCTTCAAAACCACCGAAATCTTCAGGTTCACCAAAACGACCAAAATCTCCAAGTCCATCAACATGTGGACCTTCAAAGTCTGGACCGCTGAATTCACCATGATGTCCTAAAAATATATCGTTCTCAAGTCACTGTAAATATATTTTTATCTTGTTTTTACCATGATGGTGATGATAATGATGATCATGGTGATGATGACGACCGAACATTATTATTACTTGTTTTTTATGGAAAATAAAAGAGAAGGCCGAGAAAGGATGATTATGTAGATGTATGTGTACAAATCAACAAGCATTTATATATAGTCTCCATATCTCTATTCGCTTATATCTATTATTAATCATTTCTTATGAAGTAGTACAACAATGCTTTGATTCGTGTCATGTATAATTGAAATATTTATTCTTCAATATAAAAAAAAACAACCTTGTCCAAAATTAGTCATTAAATGATGTACATCTTATTCATATTGGATGCATTACCTTGCAGAAAAAAGTATATCAATATTCATTTGATATCATATTCATCTTGAAGGGCGCTCTACTCAAGGGAACTAAGTGTATATTGGTTTTTTTTCTTCATTTCAATGAAACAAGGACCTGACTTTGCTTTAAATTATTCATATGGTTAATTAAACGAAACATTCATACATGAAAGAATATTGAATACAAGTTAATAGAAGTGTGTATGTAAGAAGATAACTCATGTGGGAAGACGATCCAATACAAATACAATCCCAATGTTTACCTATTCCAGGGTAAAAACTTTCTGAATAAAATGATATCATTTTAGGTTTTTTTTTTCTTTGTCATAGACGAGATGTTGAATCAGCTGGAGTAACACCATTTAGTGATTTAACAATAGATGATCAATATGTATTTGATAATGTATTTTTTTATTTATTTTCAATTGCATTTTATTTATTCGAATTAGTGTTTAGTATAAACATGTAATAAGTGAAAGAATTCGTCAAGAACCAGATTTACATTTTCCTGAGAATTTTGAATTCGTTCCAACAAGTGTTGCTAGACAAATTGAATCACCTAATAATTGTTATTTTCGTGTAAGTTATAATATTTTCTCATATAGATTATCAATATGAATTTTCAATATCAGATTGATTTACCTCATTCAATTGTTACAATCAAAATTATTCCCAATCCACGTGTTCATGATCTTTCAAAACATATAACTCTTCGACGAGAACCTTTTGTATATAGAAAATGTTCTAATGCTGAACCCATCTTATAATATCAACATATATGAATGTGATATGTAATAACATTATATCAACAGCTAATTTTTCTTATTTAAATCGTATATAACTATGATTAGAAGAAGAAAAGCTAATTTAATTTATAATCAAAAACATATGACGTTTTTTTTAAGCATTTGATTAAAATTTAATTCATATGAATAGAATAGATACAAAATAAATTTTCTCTTATTGAACGACCGACGAAAAAAATCTCCAAGCGTGAATCTTCAATTTTCAATCGGTGTTATGCCACTTTCTAGAGCTCGATGAGCTGATCACAATGGTATAAAGAGTTTTTTCCCAAAGGCTGTCTTTGAGGAGTTAGGTCAATCTGAATTTCAGAAAAATGATTGTAAAGTAAAAGTCGTTGAAATTTTGGCAGATTATCGGACATACTTAGTACTATATAACTACAAAGTTTCTGATCTATAGCTTGTACTATACATAAGAACTTATAACAACACTATCATATACTATTTTTTTCAATTTTCTGATCATCTTGGTTATTATTTAAAAAAACTACAACTATTGCAAATAAAAAGAAACACAAAATAATAGTTATCAATGTTTCGGTATTTGATTACCACCTTGATCGATTACTAATTTTAATCGCGTTGGTATGTTATTCATCACTCGTTGACATAAAGAAACACTAAATTTGTTTCATTCCGTTATTAATGTCATTTTTCAATTGTTCAATATTACTGTATTCCCGTCGTCCTCGTAGTTTCTTTTTTTAATGCATCTCAAACGTTTTCTATCGGTCAGATGTCAGCTAATTTTGCAGCACAATTTTTTTTTGTGCAATTCGATTTATTTAAAAAGAATGTTTAATAGTACTCAAAACCACTCCTTTGCTTATAATCTTGATCATCTTGAAAAATAACATTTTGTAAATTACTAATTCTTTAGTTGTTTCTCGTGCTGCAATAGTTTGAGCGAATTTTACATATCCATCATCTATAAAATACATTTTCTTATGACTATCACTAGCTTGTGATCTGATGAGCTTTAACCATTTATTGATGAAAACTGAAGATTGTTGAGCGATTTTCATATTAAATTTTCTCAATATGACTCATAGGAAAATTGAAAAAAGTAGTACGTGACAGTGTTGTTACAGATTCTCATGCATAAGTACAAACTATAGACCAGAAACTTTGCAGTTATGTAGTACTCAGCATGTTCAATAATTTATCAAAGTTTCAAAGACTTTGCTTTTGTTGAATGCGAGAACGATGAAATTTAGAATTGTTTCAATATTTTTGTGACACCTTTTATTGTACTTTTTCACATAAACATGTGAGAAAATAACTAAATAGAATGCAAACTATTGAAAACGATATATCTCACAAGATTTTCATTATTATGTCTTTATATAATAGCCTTCCCAGAGAGTCTTGATGAGTTTTGAAAAAATAGTTCAATGTTGTATATCCAGAGTATTAATGGCATTGAAATACTCAATATATAGATGTATTTATGACTTTTATTTATGTTGATTGTATAAGTGTATACACTCAATTAAGGCACATTCAGTGTCAAAGCTTTAAATGTTGAGAATTAAACTAAGATAAAAATGACAATTTCCGAAATAACAGCTTGCAGTAATTTTTTTTTAGATTGGGATCAACCTAACTTCCCAAAGATAGCCTATGGTGGACAATGCTTTACGCCATTGTGATCAGCTCATCGAGCTTCATAAAGTGGTATAAAGCCGATTGAAAACAGAGACTCACATGTGAGAATCTTTCCTCATGATAAAAAACCTTACTAAAAAAATGTCTCATATAGTCCTATTGTTTTACAAAGATTTTATCAATAAAATTGATTTTTCTTTAACCAGAATTTATATGAATATGTAATTTTCTATCGTTGTATTCATTGAATAATTCAAATTTTCGACAATATAAATATTATTTCTTTGTTTTCTTTTTTATTCGACTATTTAGCCTGTTCACAGACAGCATATTGATCCATTTTTTGACCTTTCAGATTGTCATAACTTAGCAACTTAACACGATAAAGAGTGGAAATTTACATTGCAGCAAGATATAGAAAAGTTCTAGTTTAACTAGAATTTTCATTTGGGTTTCTAGCCAAGACAACAGACCTCACCATGATGAAATTTGTTTTTTTTGAAAGTTAGTCTCAAGAAAGAGTTGTCATTAAAACATTACGGTAACACACTCAATGACTTCTTCTTTTAGACTCATTCAAAAAGTATAATTCTTACAGGTTTGACAACAAAAGAAGGTGACCTTGTAATGTCACACTGCAGATCAATCTTCGATGAATTTGCAATTATTTTCATTTTTTTGAAAATGATATAGTACTGTTTGAAACATAATATAAAAGATAACAAGATCCTTTTTTTTGTACAAGAGATGCTCAGTTTTGGCTGACGATTATCATTTATTTTCTCTTGTTATTATTCAAAATAAATGACATCTATCTATGTAGAATATATGAAAATCTATCAAAAAAAAAAATTTCAATTGTTTTGTGTTCGAGAAATCTTCTGGTTAACTTTAGTCAACCATGGTTCTTTTTAGCTAGACAGGCTATATTATAAAGTATTTTATATGAAAAAAAACAAACGTATTTATTCGTCGATTAAATCACAAAACTGAACAAGCAAAAAAAAAATACTCTTCATAGATAAACTTCAACATATTAAATGAGCGTTGTATTATCTGACTGAAGTAATTGGCGAATTTGTACAAGAAGATGATGAACAGGTAACAATACACTGACATGATTTTTTCCAATATGTTGATTAATCTATTCAATAAATAAATAAATAAATAAATACATAGTAAAAAACTTATCGGTATAGCTCTTTTGCAACTAAAAAGTTTATTATAATAATATAAACTACGTAGGATGAAAACCTTCTAACAGATGATTATTGCCTTCCAAGAATAATCATGCGTCATAGAAACGATCTGTCATATTTATTTCTGCATTTCGAGTAGTATTATTTTTTCTTCTATTTTTGCACTGGCACACTTCTTTTGCCTTGTTTCTATTCGTTCATTATTTATTTTCTTTTTTTTAAAATTCGATTTTTCTTAATTTACTATAATAATTATTATACTAATCATCGGTTTAACTAGCAAATAAGTCTGTTGTATCCCAGAGGTTTCCGTAGGCTGGACTAGAGTGAAGAAAGCCAGTTCATAAGGCATCGAACTTTGACCCGGTCTAGCTCATTGAACTGTCTATTGTACACATTCATTATTTTAATAACAGGTCTCCATGCGTCATTATATATCTTGATAAATTTAGACATACTGATATTGATTGTATCTGAAAATTAAACATTAATCAGTTCATACTTTTGTGTTGGTTAAATGATGACTGTAGCAAATCAATAGATTACTAGTCATCATTCTTGGTATTTAACTTGTAATCAGTCATCGATGTAGAAATCTGAAATTGTGCTATTTCGAACATTCAAAAACCTATTCCAGCCATATAAATTTCAAGAAATGTCTAAGTCTGATTGTTAATGGCATTCAGTACCTTTTTTTTCATTGATGAGAAAGGTTTTTGATGCTTGCTGTCCTTAACCTAAGACGTACGCTAATTATTTTCTTTCGAAAAAGATGAGTTTCACAAAAACAATCAATTAGAAATATGATGAACTTACAGATTCACTATATAATTCATAAAATTGATAAAGTTTAAAAAGACATTCAATTGCAATATCATCATTAAGTATTATGGATCGAATATCAGTTGATGAAAATTGCGAATTATATTGATTTGATGAAGACATATGAAAATTATTTTTATTAAATGATGAAAAATATTTTTTATCATCCATAAATAATAATTCAATTTCTGATGAAAACTTTAAAGATACACACAAAAAAAAAACATTAATTGCTTTTTTTTTCTATTAAATTAAATCTTACTTCTGTTTTAGTATCAAATATAAATTCTAATCCATCTGCAATAACATTTAAACATGATTCGATTATTGGACATGTTGAACGACATAACATTAAACGATTTAAACGTCGAATAAAGTCACTTACCAATTGAATATATCTATTAAATAGGAAAAAGAAATAAAATTAATTAAATATATACGGTTGTCCGGAAAGTCCGTGCAACTCCTATTCTATGAAACCGTACGCTAAAATGTGCTGTATTTATTCAATGTAATGATCTTCACTAGCAACTATACGTTATCAACGATCATGCAAACTGCTTATGGGGAGCTTTTGTTTTGAAGGATATAAAAAAAACTACATGAATTTGCACGGATTTTCACTGCACATAAGTAGAACAATCTGAGACTCGATGAGTCTTGTGAGCTAAGTAATAACAGTTCTAGTTCAGTACAGTCATAACAGTGAAATCCGAAACATTTTGTTTTTGAATACCATCATGCCAGCACTAGGTTTTTAGTGATGATGGACGTCTTCGTTTGACATAAAGCATAAAGTTCAACAAGTACTTCACGATAAACTTAAACTGTATCCTTTTATCTCAAGACGCAAACAGTCTATTCTATGGTCTTAGAACTCTTAGTAAGTCTTTTTAAGTCTCGAAAAGTTATTGAAAGTGTTCATCAGCTTGAAATACCTAGGCTATTTTTTTCATTTATAGATTTCGTTACCCAGGTTAAAAGAATCAGATATTTAAGATCCTACCGTCTGATTTGAGTATTGATTTAACTGTCTAATGGAAGGAATAGGAATGAAGGTGGATGAGAATAAGAACAGGCCGGATAGAGTCCGTACCCGACGGTATCCGTGGTCGATTCGACAAGTGCTACTCTAAAATTAAGAGGCAATTATAACTTAATTCTTATAAGATCACCATCAATATTGCCTGAGCAGGAAGAATACCCCTACCTTTTGGCTACTCTACGGTATGGAGTGGTACTTATCAGCAGATTTCATAGCTCGATATCGTCTCGATAACCAATATTAACCGTAGCTCTATATAAAAGGCCAACCTAACGCAAAGTTGTTGCGCTCAATTGCTTGAGCTCCTCGTACACACTAACTAACTAAATACTAGCCACACGAACAAGTGTGTGCCACAACCTATTCGTCATGCTACAACAGTATCTTGAAGATATGTGTCTGTCGAAAACACGACCACTCAGCCATGACGATGATTGTCTGAGAAATGTGTAAGACTTGTTAGTCGCCGAATATAATGATGATTCTTCGTGTTCCTGACATTATATTCGTACAACTATAATGTATAGGATATATCACAAAAAAAAACGTTTCGATAATCTCTCGTCTAAGATTAAAAGAACTTCATCATACTCTTCATTCAGATTCTATAGTGATAACAAGAATTTTCGGTAGTAGTTGTCGTAAATCTTCTCAATTAGAAAAGTTTTTCAAAAATGAAAAAAACAAAAAATATATAGATAAATTTACTGTTGAAATAAAATTTGATTATTTTCTTGAATAAATTCATTTTCAAAAATGAAAAATAAATCTAAACCATTTATAATTTGTTGATAAAAATAAATAAAAATTTGTTGTAAACGATATTTATTTTCTTTTAATTTTTCTTCAATTAAATTTTGATCATAAATTAATTGATTTTCTTTAAATAAATGATAATGATAATTATTTGTTTGTTTTTTTACTATAAGTTTTTTTTGACAATAAATTGTTGAATTAATTAAAGAATTTTTTAATATTGGAATTTGTTCTGTATATAAAGATGAATTTAATAATGGTATTATTAAATCAATTTCATCATATTCAATTAAACGATTTGTATTTTCATTTGAATTTAAATAATGAATTATTTTTTGTTTTAATTTATTAATTGTATCACAATCAAGAACATTAATATGAAAATGAAATAAATTTTCATAATTTATTTTTAATTCATATGAATAATATGATATATTATTTAATAATAATGTTAATGATGATATTGAACGTGATGAACGATTTAATAATTCATCACATGGTGATGAATCTATTAAATCAATTAATATACGTAAAAAATCATCAAATAAATGAAATTTATTAATTAAATCATTTTTTGATTGAAGAAAAAGATTTGAAAAAAATTTAAGAAATAATGTTTCACGTTTTAATGAAAATAATTTAAAATTTAAAGGATAATAACGAAATAGATAAACATAAGAATCAATTAAATCATTTGAATTATATTCAATTAATTGATCAATAAATACTTGTGAAAATGATTTCATATTAAGTAAATCATAAAATAATTCCATTGATGGACGATATTTTGTTGAAGAAAATCTTTAATGAAAAAAACAAAAAAAAACTTTTTTTTTGAAATTTTTGTTATTTTCTTACTTTTGATCTTTTTCAAATAAAAGTGTTTTTAATTGATCATCTTCTATAGATATTGTTGTTAAAAATGATAAACTCATTTGTAATTGTTCCATAATTGGTGGTGTACAACGTTTTTCTTGATAATATGGACATAGAAGTAATGGTGCTCGTATTAATGTATTATCATGTGATGATAAAGATGGTATTTGTTCATATACTTGATAATAAGGAACTGTTGATGCAGATGTATCAGTTGACCAAAATTGTTTTTCATTTTGATTAAGATTATTTTTAGTTGATAAAGAATTTGTTTGTAATTTTGATTTTTCAATATGTTTATAATATAGATAAAGACTAAGACTTAATATTGCTATTGTTAAAAGACAACTAGTAAATATAAGAGATATTTTTGTTGATATTGAATATTTTCTAGATAATGATCGAGTATATGATAAATAACCAATTAAATGTTCACGATAACCAATACGAAAACGAATTGGACCAATTGAAGAATTGAATAATGTACAATCATCTAAATTTAATTATAAAGAAAAAAAATAAATTTCTCGTTCTGATCTGAACTGACCAGGCCGAACAATGGTTGCTCTGCTTTTCGGAATAGCACTTTCCGATATAAAAAAAATCTTTGTTCTCTTACTAAACAGTCATTTCAAAAACAGAACAGTTTTTCAGACAACTTAATTCCAGGATATGATCTGGTCGACCCCTAATATAGAGTAATGGTTAAAAATAAATGAAATTATCTATCCAATGCATTTCATACTGAACTACAAGCAAGGAGAATGGTATCTGCTATTAAAAAATAATTTTAGATAAATTTCAAACAAAATCTTGTATTTTCTTATAACTGATATGACTACAGATGGAAAGAAAAAGTGCACTTAGAGAAAACTTTCGATTTCTATATAAACTTCTGACACGTCGATCAACTGCTTACAGAAAACAAATCTATGTTAAAATATAGTTCGAGTTCTATCGAATGAGTGATGCAAAGCACCTGACTTTTGACAAATTATGAATAGCTACTTCATAGTTAGCTCAGATCTATGCAAAGTTTTCTACATTTGAAGAATGTAATAGAGCATATGAAAAAGTCTTCTACAGTTACTGAAACATATCAAAGAAGTTTTATCATTTTCCTGAACTCCTATCAACAGTAAAATAAAATGGGTGCGAGTGTTTTTATTTAACATCTCGAGAACGAAAACAGCTGGTGACCTGCGCTTTTCAGCATTCGAAAGAGCAACGTGGGGAGAAGTAAAACTATATCAAATTCGATTGGTCAATAATTGACCAATAGGATGAGCGCGTGTTGAACGTTTTGCAAACTACCTGGGGGAAACTATTTCTGATTGGATTTTAAATTCTAATGTAATCATTCTATGGAAAAAATTGGTTTATTTCGATCTACATCAGGCTGAGCTCACTAGCTTGTCTCGTTCTTCTGGAACCCTCGAAATCGATCACGTAACCTTCAATCACCCCAAAAATAGATCACAATAGGGGTAATCGACCACGCTGAGTTTAGTGGTGATGTTTGTTTTTAGTTTCAAAGCAATCTAAAGTCAATATATCAAAATCTTCGATTTATCTGCATTCTCATGCATATATTGAGAGAAGTGATACCATTGAAAATCTTAATATACTGACTTAAGATTGTTTTGAAACTAAACACAAATATCACTACTAGACTCAGCGTGGTCGATTACTACTATTATGATCTATTTTAAGGTGATTGAAGGTTGCCTCACCGATTTCCAGAGTTTTGAGAAGAATGAGGCAAGCTAGCGAGCTCAGCCTGATGTAGATCAAAAGAGACCTGTTTTTCCCATCGAATGATTACATTAGAATTTAAAATTCAATCAGAAATAGTTTCCTCAGGCAGTTTGCAAAATGTTCTTTGGGCGCTTATCCTATTGGTCGATTATTGACCAATCGAATTTGATATAGTTTTACTTCCCCCTACGTGGCTCTTTCCAATGCTGAAAACCGCAGGTCACTAGCTGCTTTTGTTCTCGAGATATTAAAAAAACACTCGCATTCATTTTATTTTGTTTGCGATAGTAAAAGTGAATATATCAGTTATTACAAAAAGTTTAATACAGAAAGATACAATTACAGCAAAATATATAATTCACAAAATAATTGACACATAACTAACCTTTTTGTTGTTGATTGTTAAGAATAATTGCTATATTTGTTATTAATTTTGTTGGTGGTTGACATGTAATACCTTTTGATGTAAATGTTTTAAGTTTACATTCTGAACATCCAATGAATAATTGGATATCTGACATTGATGCAGCTTCTGTTAAATTTTCTACCTGTAATTTTAATTCTTCGCCTATATAAGGTAAAGTTGGTGGAATAGATGATAGATTTAATAAAACATCAGAAATATAATGAAATTGAATTATATTTGTTAATGAAATAATTGAATCATCAAAATAAATTGAAAAATTAACATCTAATGGTGGTGATGGAAATTCATTTGATGATGATGGAATACCTAATGTACGAAAATTAAATGATGAAATTAATCCATCTTCTATTGATAATATATCATTTGAATTTATCTAAATAATAATAATATTTTTTTTTATTAAATTAATTATAATTAATAAAAGAAAACAACAACAAACTTTTAATTTTTCATTCCATTTTCTATAAGAAAATTTTACAGTGATTGTTTGAGCGGATCCAAAATACATTCCACGAACAGTTATTAAACGTCCACCACTAGAACGAAACAAAACATTCGTATAAAATTATTTTTTAGACTAAAGAATATATAGCTAAATAACTGAAAAGAAAATCAAAAATTTTCCTTGTCAAATTTATTTTAATTGAGTCGTCTATTATTCAGATTTGATGAACATAGACAGAATTGGTTCATAGTAAAATGTACCACTAGCATAGGTATTAATCACCAGCTCGCTTGAATGAATACACATTCAATGTTTCTTGGAGTTTTTTGTGTCCGTTTTCAAAAATATCGTTTCGCGAATACAAATGCATTCTCAGAATTAGAAAAAGTATTTCATAGAATGCACATTGATGTATGTGTCCCAAAGAATATTTTTCCCAATTATGAATGAGCTCTTTTTGTAACAAAAACCTGTCAGCATTTTTAGAAGAAAGTCCAAAGGTGAAGAGATCTTTTAATCCAGAGACAATGATATTTTAGTGAATATGTTCCTATTTCAGAAAGATCTCTTCATACATGACTGGTGCAAATATGCACTGCGTTAATTAGGTCTTATGACCAAGGGAACGTTTTTTTTTCGTATAGGAAACCTAGAGAACTTATTCAGAGCATCCTACAATAGAATACTTAAGTAACTTCACGATATGTTTTCACTAAAGAAATGCATTTTTCAATAGGCTGTTTTTTTCCTATTAGCTAGTTGTCATGATTTTTCTAACTCGACATTGACGTATCAGTAAGATAACAGAAGCAAAATATTGTCCATACTGAACTTAAATGTTGATATAGACATAAATCTAAAAATCAAATTTTAAAATGATTTTCGAAACTATCTTTTGCTTCGTTTATCTGAGAGAGTTGTCCAATGGATCGAAAGCTTTAAGTATACGTTCGATTTCATTGAGAACAAAATCAAAATCATGTTTGTCATTATATTATCAGGAACATATTGGATTCATATACAAAATTTTGATTTACCCAGGTAACTCAAATTGTGTATACACTAATAAGTTTTGATCCTAAAATGAATGTACTCAAACGAAATTGGTCAATAGAAGAGTGACAAAAGGGACAGATAATATTGTAATCAGATCAAAATAAAAGTAGAACATCGATTTACATTATTTCAAATGAGTTAAAAGTGACAATCTCAAAATCAATTCTCCAATATTGAATCAAAATATTCATATGAATCTACTAAATTACAATTGATTTTTATGCAAGACGATCTAAAAGGAGTGTTATAGTATATAACATACAACAAAAAAAAACATTTCATACCATGACAGAAGAGATTGACAGACACATTAGAAACGGCTCATCACAGGCATGACACTCATCTTAACAACGACCTATCACGGACATGACAGACATGATGGATGTACGATCAAAGATTGTGTATCAATAACGTCTCGTTATATCAAAAAACGACTTCCTTATTGAATTTATGGATAAAGTTTTTTTTCTGACATTTTCACACTTTTTTCCAAATGTCGAACTAAGTAACGAATAAAAAGAACTATGATTTTTGTTTTTCTTTCATCATTTTAGAATCATATGCTCTAATATTTAGTATTTTTATTTCTACCTTGCAAAACTAATCGTTGGATCAATATCTTGAACAATTGGATTTGGTGTTACTTTCAATTTTTGTTCAATATTTATTAATTGATTATCTATTTTTAATGTTATATTATAAATTTTTGATATCATTGAAGGTAAACGACATGATAAAGTATTTATTGATATTTGTTTTATTTGTATACATTGATAATTATTAAAAAAAATTTTTTGTTCATTACCAATAAATAAATTTTCTCCATTAATATAAAAAATTTGTCCACCAAATTCATAAACAATATTTGGATTTATAGAAATAATTGATGTTTGACAATATTCAATATAATCTTTTGATAAAATATATATTGAATTTGAAAAACGTATACTTATTTGTCCTTTACGTGTTAAATTTGTTATTTGTGATTGACATTGAATTATATTTGTTGAATTAATTAATAAACATGGTATATCAATAAGTAAAATTTCAAGAATTTCTTCATTAATATATTCATTTAAATAAATATTAATTATTGTTTTACCATATAATGGTATTAATTTAGGTGAAAAATCATTTATACGTAATGATGTACATTGTTCATTAATTAAACATTTATTTTTTGATTTTGTTAAACATTGTCCTTGACACCATATACATTTTGAACGTAAATTACATTTATAACATGTATCATAAAGATTACAATTATAAATAAACATTTTTATTGGATTACCAATTAATATATTATTTTGATAAATAGTTAAATAACTAATTTGTTCATTTTCAGTATTTATTTGTGGAATTTTTGAAATAAAACAAATATTATTTGAATTAACTAAACCACGTATAGTTTCATTTAAACGGCATTCAATTTGATTATCATATTGAATAAAATCAAATTTTAATGGAATTTCAATAGATTGATTAGATTCAAGAAAATTATTTGAAGAATTTAATAAATCAAATGATGAACATTGTGATAATGTTTCTGTACATATTGATGAACATCGTTGTGAACACCATTGACAACCAATTTCAGTTCGACATGATATACATGATGAATATGATGAACAATTATAAAATGTAAATTCTGATATAGTAGCAATACTTATATTTGATGGCCATTTTATTACAGATAAACGAACGATTAAATGAGAACCTAAATATTTAAAACTTATTTATATATCTAAATACAATTCTCTTTTTTTTTTCGTATATAAACTATTTCTCTGCGTCAAAAAATTACAATGAAAAATGTACAAAATTCTTTTTTTTTCTTTTTTTTGTTTGACATTGACTTCTGCTACGAAATTAGAGCTGAAAAACTTAACAGAAAAATGTTTATTCACATTTCACTGTTAATAGGTCTTAAAAATCTAAAAGATTTTAAACGCATGATCGTTCTGTATCAAAATTTAACATTGCACCTTTCTTTTCCTATCCAGATTACACAATCAAATAGGTAAAATCTTATAACATCAAATGAAAACCATAGTCGCAAAAATCTTACACTAAGTCTTATTATAAGATTCATGAACGCTCTAGCTGTCTTGTAAGATATAACTATAAGATTATAGGAAATCTTATAATATGGTCTCAGTGTAAGTCTTAAAGAGTATTGAATTAGAGACGAATTGAGAATCAACTAAAAATGTATCGTACACACAAGAGAAGATCCCCAAGTATGACTCTTCAATTCAATTGATATGTAGTTCGTCAGTAGCATCCGATGAGACTAATGCTCATTTCACAAAAAAAAATGGATGGATATTTTTTGAATAACTTTTGAAGGGAATGACATAGAGAGTTGCGATTTTCACCATTGGAAAGAGGCGATGAAGATGCATCGAAGCATATACGAAAAGACTATTTAAATTCCTTTCCTAAGAGTCTTATGTAAAATTCCTTAGAAAACTAATATGTCTCACATGGCCGTGATATTGATTTATTTATTTTCAAAGGTACATTAGAATCACCAATCGAAGAACTACAAAACTACATAAAGATTCTATTCCTAGCTGCAACCAATAAGATATTCTAGCCATAGAAAAGCAAGCTATCATGTCATTTTTCCAAGAAAATAATCGAAAAAAATAATTTTGATGAAAAATCCATTTTTTTTAACATATAAGAAAAATGGCAATTCTTTAAGAAAATCGGACTTAAACTCTTAGGAAAGTAGTCAGAAAAATCTTTTCGTATATGATTCCATGTGTCTTCATCACCTCTTTCCAATGATGAAAACTGCTGTTCTCTATATTGTTTTCCTTAAAACTTATTCAAAAAATATCCATCAGTCTTTTTTTTTAAATGGGCATTAGTAGAAGCCTACAAAGGTTCAAACTCACACGCTATCCTTCCCAAGTTATTACAATTTAACAGAACTTTTTTATCGCTGGTAATGGACTTATGAAAGAATGGAACTACGAAATTTCAACCTGAAATTTCGCCCTCAAGTCTCATAGACATTAGAATGCTCTGAAAATCTTAGTCTAAACGAAACTGTTCTA